TTTTTCAATGACCTGAAACAGTGGGGGCTAAAATAGAGGATTGCGTCCTACATTTCTAACCCCTGTATCAGCAGATACGTACGGCGTCACTAAAAATATTATCTACATATCAATCCGAAACTTGCAGTATAAATACCGTACTGTAGTAAATCACCAAAAAACCGGGCCAAAATGTTAAAAAAATCAAAAATTTTCCTTTCTTGCCTGGTATTGCTATTTTTGTACGGTATTAGGTCGAGGTTCATTTTTATTTGTATAACCTATATGCCTTAGAAATGCCATACAAAAATGTTTTGCCGAAAACGTTTTGGTGGACAGGTTTAGCTTACCTGTGTACTCACTTGTACCAAAAATAATTGACGGCATAGTTTCTAAAGTTACTGTTATATGTGGTAGTATTGATTTATAAGTAATTCATGCTGGGTCAAATGATCCCTCGAAAATTTCCGATAGGGTCGTAATATTCCATTAAAACAAGTGGAAAAACACTTAAATTAAACTTTTCTCGTAATACTCAAATGTATCCTCTGGAAAATATAGTCGTTATTAAAAATGTTAAGTATTAAAACTGTCACCGATAAGATGTTATTAATGATTTGATATGCCCCTTTATTTTATGTCGTTATTGTAAACAGTCTAATGGTCACTTCTATACATTACCTAACTGTCACTCCATTTAGACTGCAGTTAGTTAGACACCTCATTTAGTGCATGATATCGTTGTGAGAAATATGTGGTTTCGGCGTAGATATCCTATGGTGATTTTGTTGGTTCTGTTTGGTGTGATACCTTGGTATGACTTTATGAAGAACAAAATGATGCGTCTGAGAATATTCAGAATATATTCCATGCTATTGGTTCTTGCTGCATCAGCAGCTTCATCATACATACTGTTTCTTAAATCTGAACAAATGTTTTCATCAACTATGACTGTGATAACCGTCTGCGCGATTATTTCCGATCTAACTAACCTAGTGCTTTTTGTGGTCACTGTGCTGGGGTCCTCGTTTTGGAATTTACATGATTGGCAAGAGTTGTTTCATAATATTCAGGTGGTGGAACAGTTGTTAGACCAAGCACCGTCTTATTTTAATTTAATATTTCTCTTGGGAAATATACCTTTAACCATTATGTCCTGTATTAACGCTCCAAATAAAGCAAGTTCAATTATTACTTTTATTTCATTACTGCTTATGCAGTTCTTGTTATAGCCCTCTTCATATATCAGAATTGCAAAACTCTGAACGGATTGTTCCATTCCACACCTCATGACGTCGTAAACGGAAGACTCCTCAACACCATTAGGAGGATAAAGAAAGTATATATCCATGTAACCCTTCTTATAGAGTATTTCAATGTTGCATGTGGTTGGCCGCTGCTAGTGCTCTCATTCTCTGTCATGGTTCAGGGACAGACGCTGTTTTCATACATACTGGTAGATCACATCACATGGAATAATACAGTGGTTTTCTTGAATAAGAAAATAATTTTTGTGAGTGTAGGAGATTTTGTTATACGAGCGGTAAGTAATTAATTGATTAGTCACGACACTCGAACAACTCACTCTCATTCTTTTTCTTTATACACGGTTTGAATTTTTTCTCATGCTCAGCACCAGCATCCGGTAATATTGGTGAACACAACATTGAATATTTATTGGCGGTAAGCAATACATTTAATAATAATTTTCCTTATTCCGAAAATGTGACTTAATAACATTGAAAGCCTTCAATCTAAAAAACACTTATAGAAAACTGTTTTTTTCTAATGTAATCCACTTTCAATCAGCGTATTACAAAATGTAATACTGTTGAGAATCGATCGCGATACCAACAGCGACGTTATTTAAGTGCTGCCTTCGATACCCACCGGTTCAGTGTGAGAAAAATGAAGTTACCTAGAAATGACTCTGTTATTTTCCCGAAACCAATAGCGGTTGTTCTGTGTATATTAGGTGTTCTGCCATTCTATAGTTTCAAGAGACACGTGCTGATTTATCCGAAAATATTCACGGTCTATTCTGTACTGCTGATTTTTGCAATATTCACACTGTCTGCACACTTATTCTATCTTCGAACAGAAATAGTGTTTCCAAGATTTCCTTCAATACTAACGGTTATGGACGTCATCATAGAAACAAATGGTTTAACATTGATTGCCACCACAGTGTTAGGAACATCGTGGAATCTACCTTCTTGGCAAGAGCTATTTCGCTACCTTCCTAAGACAGAAAAGTCACTAAGCCCTTCAACATTACTTGGTTTCAAATCAGTGTTCTTCATTGGAAATGTATCATTGATTGTATTATTCTTAACCGACATTCTAGACGAGGACAACTTTGCTTCCATTTTTATCCAACTTTTATATCACCGTTACCTGTGTTTCCTTGTCGCGTATACCATTATTGTAATTAGCTACTCTGTATACCAGAGATACAGATCCGTGAATCGCTTATTTCTCAGTGGTGGTGTTATTAACAGTATCAAAAATGTCAAAAAGGAATTTGTCGAGATACACGATGTTATGCAGTGTCTCAATACATTGTGGGGTTGGGTTCTGCTACCGCTTTTGTCTTATCCCATGGTACAAGGACTAGCATTCTTTTCTTTAGCAATAAATAAAAACTTGTCCAATACAACCATGAGGAAAATCTTTGCGAACGTTGGATACTTGCTGATATCATTGGTAAGCAAAATAATTATTGTTAAACATTTTACGAAATGTCTTAGTTCCAACGAGCATAATAAAAAATAGAGTAAGTTGAACTGTGTTCATCCGTTTGAAAGTTGTGAGTAGAAATATCGTTTAGTGATTTATTAGTTTCAATTAGTCGATATAAACTTTTCTCATAATGCTCAAGTGGCAATCAATTAAGGTTTTGTTTCTGACAACCACTCAGTTCTTCCCCTAAATCAAGGGGTGATAAAAACAGCTCCTAAAAAGGAATTTTTTGTTAACTTTTTATGCATATTTTCTTTAATTTTCATTTAGCCACACCCTCACCCCTCACTTCTACCCTTAAAATATGGATGAAAATATTTTCATTAATTTTTCCATATTTTGTTTCAATTGAGTATTAATTCCACCATAATGTGTCTTAATTTCACTGTACTTATCGAAGATATAAGATTTTTGATCGAAGAAAATCGATTTTCACTTTTTTCACCTATTCACCCTTCATTTCCTCCCCCAAAATGGGGGATGATGACATTCGCAATAATTTTTCCTAAATCTGCATCAAATAAGCTAAAAAATGTAAAACGGTTCGTTAATTCTTCTTCGAGATATTTGATTTTGACATAAAAAAATGCCGTTTGACCCATAGTGTGGCGCGGGGATACTAAAATATTTTTTATCTGAAAGAGCGTTTAATTTTGGATAATTTTTGTAATATAAAGTGTTTCCCAATATTTATTTGTTTTCGAGAAATGTCGACTTCAATATGCAATGTATAATGTAACAGGTAAATCTATTATTTTATTTAAATCACACTGAGACAAAATATTCTTTTAAAATATTGTTATAATGACTTTATTCACACCACATACTAACTAACAAACAACAAATTATAAAAAAACATGATCAACTACAGAATATGTAACAGAAAGTATTTAAAATAATTGTAGATGCAGTTATTGAAGTAAGTTAAAACAAAGAATGTGCAAAATTACGTACAAAACGAAAAGTTTTTTGAAAACTAACAAGAGTAAGAAAAGTTCCAAAATTAAATTCCCCATAAAATAGAGTAATAATTTTTTTTAAGTCCGCTTGCTTAAGTAAATACTTAAATATATGTGTATCTTTGTTGATATGTTCTATAAGGAAAGACTGAAGTTGATATTAAACATCAGAATTATTCAGTCGGTTAGGTTAATAAGGTACTAAAAATAGAAACAATTATTGATAAAATATTATTGATGGTTCTATATATTATTTATTACGTAACATAAATAGATCACTGGCCATTACCAGTAGTGGAGAATTACCTAATTGTCAATATATTGAACTACACCTAAATACTGTTGTCACGATATCGTTTGCGAAAAAAAAAACATGTGCTCGTAATAGAGACATTCAATTGTCTCAAGCTGTACGCAAATATATCCGAAAATGTCCAAGCACCGTTCAATTTCAATTTGCTAATACTCTTCTGTTTTTATTACTGTAAATGCTCAGCTAATGCATTTTAAAGCGTGGATGACTTAATTTCCAGTAAGGTGTTTTAAAATCATAAAAATTATCCAAACATTAACTAATAACAAAATCGGACAATATACTGTGCAAAACCATACTTATCTCATCAACTTCCACGTCACCTGTTACATAGGTGTTGCACAATAATGTAAACGTAAAATTGACAGTTGGTAGAAGGAAGCAAAAACAAGCGATTAGGTGGGGAATTCTGGAAGGAAGCCTACATAATTGAAGTGAGAACAGTGTGGAGATGGGAGTAAGACGATCGGCGGGCAGTGTGTCAAAAATAGTGAAAAATAAAAAGTGTTTAGCCTTCATTGTTTTATGCTCAGGGGTGTATATTTTTCTAACGAAAAATTGTTACAATTAAGTATTATTAAAGATTGCTCATTATTTATTACATGTTAAAATATGTATATATTGTCGTGACTGCCCAGATATTGCAATAACGACTCCTTTGTTTCACATTTAACTTGTTTTATCATGATTACGTTGTTCATTCTATTTGTTACATATTTAATTTGAATATTGTTGTACGTAAATAATAAAGTTAGGTGTGTTTACTCTGCTTTTGTTTTATAAAATTGAACCAAACTTCCCCTCTTTAAAGTTAGTAGCCAGCGCCTTCCGGTCAATAAAAGGTAGATGTATGCAACGTAGGTATTCCTGATGACGATCACATATTTCTAGCCACAACTACGTTTATTTTATATTTTTTTCGATCGAACCCGGGGTTGTTATACTACAATACTAAAAAAATACCTTTCGCAGCATCTATAAAGACTACATGTGTCATTTTGTTGCAGATCTGGTTAACGGCTATAATTTTCTGCTGCGATTCGGTCGTGAGGGAGACAGACGAGTTGCTGACGAACTGCTACAGGCTGGAACAGACTCTGCCCCTGCTTTCCAAAGAGTTGGAGGAGTTGGACAGCTTGAAGAAGCTAATCAAGAATAAGAGACCAAAACTGACGGCTGCTGGTTTCTTCGAAATAAGAAGATCCACTTTGCTCTCTCTCCTGAGCACCACAACCACCTATTTCATTGTGGCTTTACAATTCAATTCCCTGTAAATGTATTCCACGACTGGGTTTTGTCACTAAGGTTCGCAGCGTGTATTTGAAAGTTTGTTCAATATATCACGGTTGTTTATTGAATATGTCACGGTTGTTTATTAAATATATCAGCGTTGTGTGTTAAGTATATCAGAGTTGTTTGTTAAATATATCACGATTGTTTGTTGAATATATCACGATTGTTTGTTGAATATATCACGATTGTTTGTTAAATATATCAGCCAGAGTTGTGTGTTAAATATATCACGGTTGTCTGTTGAATATATATCGGTTGTGATAAGATGCGTTTCATATTTACGCATTTCTAATGTTATTGTTGAATATTTCAGCACTTGGTTTGTGAGTGTTCAATAAATCTACACGAATTAAAGATTTGTGTGATTATTTCAAATATCCTTTCAATATGTAATAGACAAACTACAAAAGAAAGTGGAAACGGTTTAATAGACAAACTGATGTGTTTTCCTAATAGTCCAAGCATTCTGCCACGGATTAATGTTAATTTTGCTGAAATTATTACCTGGACAAAAAAAATATGACCGTATAGAAAATTAAATTTTAAATTGAGTTTCTTGTTCTTTAAACTCGATCCAAATGGCGAACATGGTTAAAAAAAATCGCAAAGTTGCAAAACACGGTTTCTCTAAAATAACTAAAAAATTATAGCACCGATTGAAACGACTGACCTTTTGTAAGTATCGATTGCTTCGATTTAAAAAAAAAAAACAGTGTTAACCGTATCTACTCTTTCTTGATTCGTATACATGATTTTCCATTATATCACACAAAAAAGAATATTCCTTTAACAAATTACATAGTACTAATATGCCTACCCACATAACAAAGTTAGTTAATATTTGATTAATCATACGAAAAATTGGCACAGTTACACTAAAGTAATCTGTTTTTTCCAAAATTAGTTTTCATTACAGTCCAGCAACCCGTCATTCCATAGAATTAGTTTAAAAAGGACTCTTAATCTGTAAAAAATAATAAACTTCAGTATTATAGCATATAGGTGTATCATTTATCAATTTATACAAGATAGCCCATCGAAAACGTACCGCAAGGCATTACAGGGTAGTAAAGAACTTTTCGGCAAAATCCAAAAACAGGTCAAATTTGTTTCTGAGGGGGACAACTTTTGGCTAAAAAAGCATACCAAAATCTTCAACCCCCTAAGTGGGGGTGCTATCCCCTAATTTTTTTCAAATGGGAATGGGGGTCAAGTGGGGGGTCATTAGAAAGGGCTTTTAATTCTCTATACATCGATTCTTACTTTTTGAAAATCGATTCATTATTTTAGAAAATATGCAGCTTTGAAAATACGAACAATATTTTTGACGAGAAATGCGAAAAT